CAATAGGCGAGCAGCCAGGGAGGAGTGGAGGAGCTCAGAAGCAGGTGGAGGGCAGGCTCTGGGTTTGTGCTTCATTATATCTGTAAACTAGGGGGTCTTAAGCAAGACTTATCCTCTTGCTGATTGTGCCTTGAATGCTGGCAGGTGGTCAGGTAGTGTGGCAGGTCTACTGTGCTGTTCTAAGAGCCATCGCTGGGAAACACTCAGCATGTTCACTGTACCTATTAGATCTTGTTCATGATCACCTGCCTTGGCCTGGACATCCTGGGTCAGCCCAACAGATCTCAGCACCCATCCTTCAGGAGGGGCATATCTGTGCAGGGTAAGGGCTTCTGTGCCTGCCCCTCGATGTGAGCCCCCACCTCCAACCAGGTTGCAACAGGTGTCTGAGATAGCTCTAGCACCATGCGTGGATCCTGTATCATGACTCAATCAAAATTGGAACTCCAAGGCCAGACCCTGCCTCCAACCTGCCACCTCTGGTCTATATGGCTAGTGGAGTCCCAGAGCCTCCAATTTGGAAATCCTCCTCATCTGAAAAGTGGGAAGGTTGTGGGAGGATCCAGTGGGCTCAAGGTCAGTGCTCTGCATCCAGAACCCATCGCTGGCAAGGAAATCCCCCGCTGGCAGCAAACCAAGGCTATGGTGGAAAATGCACCACTGCACCCCAGTTGAGGAAACAGATTTTATCACCACTCCTAGCAGGTGCTTTCCTAACTGACCCCTAGAGCTAGGCTTGTGGGACTCATCTGCTCCTCACTTCTCAAGCTGTGTATTGGTTGAGGCACAGCTAGCAGGTGCCTCTGGGATGCTGTCCCTGTGCCACCCCCTCCCCAAAATCCACTCATCTGTGAACTCATCCCCACGAGCTGGCCTTGTTTCCCAACCTGGCCATGTTGGGCATTTTCATGGCTGCAGAAGTCCCTGGATTTTTACGCCAATCCTAAGCCAGTTAGCCCTTACTTTGTTTCATTCCTTTCTACTTGGTTTCGTGGTACAGGGCTCTCATTGCCAAAACTGCATCTGCTTGGACCCTGGGTCAGCTGCTTCCAGCTCCAGCTGAGAGGGGATTGAAGAGCTGGGGTGCGGGTGGGGAGAGGGAGAAGCCACATCTCAGGGGGCATCTCCATGATGTCCCCTGCTCCCTGGGAAGATGCTAGGTGCTTAGGCTCCCCACTCTCCTTGCCCCTCTCTTCCCAAAAGGTAGCAGCCACTTCCTCTTCCTGCCAAGGCTCCTGATGTCTTCATCTGACGTCTCAGCTCTTTCCTCACCCTTGTCGCCAATAACCCTGGAATTCACTTTGCATTTGCCAAGGGACCTTTCTCCAGAGCAGACTCTCATCACCAGAGATGCGGTGACATCGATGCTGGGATGCCACCTGGGTGTCCCTGTCTGAGTGACAGCCACAAGGAGCACTTGGGAGAGACTCAACAGAGAGGCAGGTCGCTGAAAAGACCTTGCGCTGGAACTGAGCACAGACCCTGCAGGCCTGAGAGAAGGGGCCGGCTGCTGCTGCCTGCCAGGGATTCCACGAGCATCTTCATGTGTCCCTTCACAGGGAGACCAAAGGAAAGACCTCCGGGGTTGACTTTGCCGGGAGGGCCAGAAAAAAAGCTGCTGCAGGCACGTTTGGGCGTTTAACACTAAAGGCTGTAAGATGTGATTTTTCCAATACCCTTTTACTCTCAGATATGGTTTCTTACAACTCCTTTTTTAACCAAGTTTCTCTTTATTTTTTTTTCCATTGAAGAGCAAGAGGGGGCCTGGCATGGTAGCCTAGTGGCTAAATCCTCATCTTACATATGTCAGGATCCCATACAGGCGCTGGTTCTTATCCCAGTAGTTCCACTTCCCATCCAGCTCCCTGCTTGTGGCCTGGGAAAGCAGTAGAGGACGACCCAAAGCCTTGGGACCCTGCACCCACCGGGGAGACCCAGAAGAAGCTCCTGGCCCCTGGCTTTGGATCAGCTCATCTCCAGCTGTTGCAACCACTTGGAGAATGAGCCAGCAGACAGAAGATCTTTCTCTTAATCTCTCCTCTCTGTAATCTACCTTTCCAATAAAAAATAAGTAAACTTAAAGAAAAAAAAGAAGAAGATGGACCTTGATTTCCTTCTGTGTGCCAGGTAGTACATAGTCAGAGGTTACAGGGACAGGAGTTCCCAAGAGCTGGCACCTACGTTGTGCCACAGCAACTGAGTCACTTGTTCATTTCATCCTCGCTGTAATTTGGGGAGATGTATTCTGACACTGGACTCGCCTTACAGGCAAAGAGAGCAGAACCTCCTGCCCCTGACTCACAGCTTGTAGGAACCAAAGTCAGCCTCCAGGTACAGCTGACTCCAGCCTCCACACTCTCTCCGTGTCCCTAGGTAGGTTCCAGAGGGCTGGCGCTCACTTACAGGGCAAAGGCGGTGAGAATAACTCCCCCTGGGGCAGAAGTGGCACTCAGCAAACCTTTGTTACCCAGCCCCTGAGGACTGGAGGAGCTGCCCACTGCCCATGTGCACTGCTGGGCTTCTGGGCTTCCTCCCGGCTCTGGGCCTAGGCTCACCCTCTTGATGATCAAATTCTGGGGGCTCAGGCGGGGCCCACCGTTTGACATGGAAAAAGCCAGCCAAGTGCGCGGGGTTGGAAACAAGAGGTGGCGTGGGCAGAGTAGAAACCACTCCTGGCCTGGCTCCCACTGACTCATCCTGGGGGAACCAGAGTGAGTCTCTGCAACCTGGGGGGGTGCTCAGCTTCCACCGCAAATGGGGGTCTCTCCTGATGTGCTGCACAGCACAGCCTACTCCAAAAGACACCTGACTTAGGCTCCACCTGGGCCCCTGATTCCCAAAGACCCCCCCTCTGGCCAGGTCAGCCTGTGTGCCTACGTCGCAGGGTGCGCCTGGGCCCCCCCATCCCTGCTGCTGCTGCGTAACGACAGGACGGTGCCGGTTCCGTACCTGAGCTGACTCATAACGGAGCTCGAATGGCGTCACTAAGACTCAGCCGAGGAAACCAACATCGATGGTGTCCTCACCCAGAAGCTGCTCCATCTGCAGAGGCGTTATCCTCCTTTTACAGGAAAGGAAACCAAGGCCCTGAGAAGGGAAGTAACTTGTCCCAAGGTCTCATGGCCTGGATTCAGCAGAGCTGGGACTGGAACCCAAATCTGACTCCAGCGCCCTGTGGTTTTCACCGCAAACCTTCTTCCTCCCTGGCCAAATGAGGACCCCCTGCTCCCTACTCATGCCCACCCAAGCCCAGCACCCTGAGCCACCGTCTCTTAGAGACAGAGGCTGAACCGTCTTCCCGGGAGGCTCAGTGCTGTACTTCCTGCTTAGGGGACCCCTAGCATGCCCCACCTGCTCCTTCTTGGCCTGCAGAGGCCAGTGTGAGCCCAAAGGACCATGGTTGATGCAGGGAACCAGGAGGTGTGTCGTCCTAAACCAGGGCTCCCTGGGAGAGGAAGGGGTAGTGCCCAGGGTGCAATGGGCAGGAGGCTACTTCTGGGAGTTCTGGGGAGGAGCTGTGGTGCCATGGCTGAGCTCCAGGCAGGCAAGAGCCAGGCTGGTGTTCCAATGTCACTCCAGAGACTGTGTGACCTCCCACACGCTGACTGCACCACCTCAGGGCCTTAGTGCCCTGGCCTGAGAAATGGGAGAGCAGAACTTGCCAGAAGAGTAGGAAACATCACATCTGTGCTTCCCAACTGCAGCCCCAAGCCTAACTCTGCCCTGGGCACAAATGCGTGTACAGCAGAATGGCCTGGGCAGCACGGAACCTCCACTTCTCTGGGCCACAGAGGATTCAGACAGGAGCCCACAAAGGGCCCTTGGAGGGGAAGCGAGGAGAGCCCGGGGTGTAAGACCAGAGCAGAAAACTCCCAGGTGATGGAGGTGGCTAACAGACCTGGGCTTCTGCAGAGGCCTCCTGGGACTGCCACACCGTCACCCTCAGGAGCAAGCCACGGCTGGGCACGAGTGCTGACAAGTCCGTGTCATGTGTTTTCCATTTGTATGTAATCCCAGCTCCCATAAAATCCCCTCAAGTGCCACCCAGCCACACACATGTGGACGCCTCTGCCGGGCACGGGTGCTGCAGGACAATGGCAGGGTGTGAGCCCTGCACCCGCGGCTGGCCCAGGCTCCCGGCACCCGGCAAGGGGGCCAGCAGGGCTCACAGCCTGCCCAGGCCAACGCTGGCCTTAATTAAGACGGAGTCTCCCACACAGGGTCCAAACCGCCACCCTTGCCGCCCCCTCTCCAACCGCTTTCAGTTCTGCTTCTGGGCCGCGTGCTGAGGCCAGTCCCACAAATAAAAGCCACTGCCTGCCTCTCTCTAGCTCCTCTCCCCAAAAGACATAGAAAGGCAGCCACAAGATCTTCTAAGAGGCCATGACATCACGGCCCAGGTGACTGCCACCCAGCCAATGGGCCAAGGCCGCGAGCTGGCTTCTGGCATCCTGTGCCGCGAGCTTGGGTTGACACTGGGAAGGCCTGGTCCCTCTCAACCACAGAACCACAGGGCCGGGCCCTCGGCTGCCTCCGGGGCCCCCAGCGCGGGAGCTGGTTGGCTCCTGGTCGTCCCCACCCCCTGGGGCCGCCCTCGCACCAGTGGGCCAGGAGCCTGGGCTCCGTGGAGGGTAAGCCTCATTCATTCATTCCCCTTGGTGCTGGTGCGGGGCCTCACTCAGCTCCCTCGGCCCCAGGCGCTCCTCCGCCCTGGCTGCCGAGCGCCCCTTCCCGCCATCTAATGATACACTGCACACGACTTCTGTGGAGAATTTGTGGCTAGACATTCCTGTGGGACCAGCAATCCAGAGCCTTGGGTAAAAACAGCAACTCTGCTTTCCTGGGGGATTTTTTTTCTCCTCTTTCTCTCTCTCTCTTTCTCTCTCTCTTGTTCACACACACTCTCGCGTTCTTTCCTTTTCTCTTTTTCATAGCAGCAAGGGGGAAAAAAAAAGAGACAAAACAAAACACAAATAAAAAACAACACACACACATACACTCACACACACCCACTTCATTCTCCAAAGTAGTCAGAAAAAAAAAATCAAATACCGGCCCGCCCAGCGGCCCAGGCCGACCCCCTGACGTGCTGACTGCTGGCCGGGCAGCTTCACCGGCCTCACCGTGGGGCATGGCCTCCAACAGCATCTTCGATTCCTTCCCCAGCTACTCGCCAGCCTTCATCCGTGGTGAGTAACGCGTGGGTGCCGGAGATGGCACCGGTGGGGAGCCGCGGCCACCACCCGGGCCCTGTCCCTCAGCCGCCTGTCAGGCTGCCCTCAAGCCTGGCCACCTAAACCCCTGGGGGGGCAGAGGGGCCAGTGGTGGCCACCGTGGTCTCCCTGGGGGGGCGGGGGAGGCAGACATCACCGTGGAGCTTCCATCCCCAGCCTGTGGGGACAGTTGGTCACCCGGCAGTGGCTCACACTCGACTGCCAGACCTCAAAGCCAGACTCGGAGGGTGCTGGGTGGAGGCGAGTCCAGGGGGCACCTCAGCCCCCCGGCTTCCTGCTTCTCTAGTGGGGCCCCAGAGCCCAGCCCCCCGTGGCCCGGTCTGCCAGAGTGAGGCTCCTGTCCTGCACCTGGCTCGGGCAGAGAGCCGCGGGAGGCAGGCAAAGGGCCCAGCAGCACTGTGGGACCTGGCGACTTTCCCCGGTTGGTCCCCCCACCGCCCCCACTCTGCGAAAGGAGGCTGCGGGAAGAGGAGGGCTTTTGTCTTTGGGGTAGAGCTGGTGCCGCGCTGGGCCTGTGTCAGGGGCAGGCCCGGGGAGTTCTGTGGATTTGGGCACCGGGAGAAGAGAGAGACACTGGTGAGGTCTGTCTCAATGCATGGCCTGGAGGCACCCCGAACTTGGGCTGTGTTGCTCAGCGAGAAAGGGGCTGGGGTCTGCTGTTAGAGCTTCTGGTTGAGGCTGGATTTTAAGAGAGCCTTTCCCTGCCCATCTGGCTATGGCCTCAGACAACCCCAGAGCCACCTCCGTTGTCCCCAGCAGGAGCCCAGCTGGACACAAAAGTCCCCAGGAGTGAGTGCCCCACTGCTCAGTGGAAGCCTTACGGAGCAGCTGTAGGCAAACATCTTAACCTCTCTGGGCCCTGATTCCACTCCAGCTATGAGTGTCTAATGCCAAGGCTGGGCTACTCACAGGACCTGGTTCTCCTGTGGCCAAGAGCCAAGGGGGTTCTAGAACTCCTGGGCTTGGGAGTACTGTGGCCTTGCTGGACACGGACGGTTAGCGGGTCCGCCTTAGCTGGCTTGATTGTGTGTCCATCTGCCCCCCTGCTGCCAGCTACCAGAGTGACTCAGCGGCAGCCCTTGGCGGCCAGCTTTGGGCAGGGCCTGAGACCCATGTGGGTCTTTGTTGTCCAGAGGAGCCTGGGCAGGGGCTGTTGTGCCTCCACCCTGGTAGGTCCAGGCAGGCAGAGATGGAGGTAGTGGTGAGGGAGGGGCTGGGGGCTGCTGCTGTACCCGACACGGGAGTGCTCCCAGCAAACCTGGCTGGGGCTGGTGACAGGCGGCCTGTCTGGGAGCCGGGGTTGTGGGCTCCTGCCTTCAAGCTGCTGCTATTATACGTGTTCCCTTTGTAGTCCTCTGAGCTAATTAAAGGCAGTTCTGCGGCAAGAAAATAAGAGTTTATAAAAACCATTTGCTGGGTCTTTGTAATCTGTATTTCTCCCTCCGTGAGCACGATGGAGCAATGTAGGGTTTCAAACAAAGGAACCTTGGGAGCCGGGGCTGGAGGGCTGACCCACTAGGATGGGCTCCGGGGGTCACAGAACCCAGGAGGTGGCCAGTGGCAGCAGCGGAAACACCAAGGTGAAGGGAGAAGTAGGTGAGCAAAGAGTTGGGTAGAGCAGACTGCTCACGCCTCAACAGGTGCCTCGGATGTGGGAGGCTGGATGTTGGTGAGGCCTAGGATCCGGGGGTTGAGGGTTCCCTGTGTTTCCTTGGGACAGCTCTGTCCACTCCGGCAAACCCTCTCCTGACCAGTTCAGTTTGTCGTGTGCATGCCCCCTTGAGTCTGTCTCCCGTCTCTCATTAGGTCCAGCTGCCTGTGCTGTCCCTAGAGGCATACCACCTACACAGGGTCCTTATCTAGGAGTCAAATTTTTAGATACAGAACACAAAATCCAAAGGATTACAAAGAAAGGTGTGTCTGGGGCATGAGGGGTTATCAAACTCAGAAAGGAAGCGTTCGTACAAGATAGTAAGCGTGTACCCTGTTAGGGGTCTGGCCGCAGCACAGCCACCAACCTCATGTCGCGGCAGTGAGCAGGAGCCACAATCCAGAACACTCCTTGTGAACAGGCCCTAATGATACAAAGCAGTACCTGGGGGCACAGAGAGGTGTGGTGGAAAAAGACCCCCGGTTTCAGTTAGAGCTCAGTAAATGGAAAGACATCATTGTTTCCAGCCCACACGCATGGAGCCCCCGAGGTCTGTGCAGGGAGGAAGCGCAGGTCTGAGGCGGGCTGCTTAGAGTCTTCCGGGGCTGTGGGGGCCCCCAGAGGTTTGCAGCAGCAAGGAAGGGCCTACCTTGTCCTCACGACCCCCTCGCCCTCCTGCCCACCTCCGCAGTCCCTCCAGGGCGTCCTCCAGTGTCACCACCCTAAGGAGGTCTTGGATGCTAGATTCCTGTGGTCCTGCCCGGACACCAGGTCCCCCTGGGTGACTGAAGCTTGGGGCCTGCCGGTCAGGAGCCTTGTCTCCTGCCTGGCTCTGGCACCTGGATGCTGGGTGACTTTCAGGGGACCTCTCTAGGCTGCCATCCTCTCACCCCTGAGAGGGGAAGAGTGGCTTGGATTCCGTGCATCTTTGAGATGATCTGGTCCCCCCATGAAGGTTTCTCATTCTCCTGGGGTGGGTCCCTAGCTCCATCACATGCTGCTATAGACCCCAGAATGAGGGAGGAGGGGACAGGGATTGTGTGCTATTTTTTTCCGATAGGGATCACCTGAATCCCACCCAGGGCTGGGGCCAGCACAGCCCCCAGACTCCCTGAAGCACCAACTGCCTTGCCCCTCTGGCTTACGAACAGCAGGGGGGCTCATTCTGAGCCAAGAGGGCCAGAACTGACCTGCAGTCATGTGGAAGCCAGGTTTGGGAGGGGACTGGTGAGTCCACATAGCAGCCCAAGGGAATGGAGGAGTCGCATAGGGGCTGAGGGAAACCCAAACAGCTGCCCCTGAGGGTGAAGGGGGTTCTGGGTGCCTCCCAGGCAGCCCATAACGGCCTCCTGGATGGCCCACAAAGTGCCTATGCCTGCATTTGACGAACAGGGAAGCTGAGGCTGGGGCTGGGGCACTCTGCCCTCGTGATGTGAGCAAGTCCTCTTCTCTCTCGGGGCCTGTTTCCCCCCTCCCCTGATCCTCATCATACTCTTGTCTGGGGTTGACTCTTTTCTCCTGAGTCTGTCCCTCAGGCCCTTCTCCGTACCCTTTTGATTGCACTCCACAGACACATGTTGTCTCCCGTGGACACAGTGCTAGGGAGGAAAATATATGGGGCTGGAGAGGAGAGGTGAAGAGAGTAATGCTGGCGCTCAGAGGGATGCACTCAGGTCAGATCCTGGCTGCCCGCACCCGCCACGGGGCCAGGGGAGAGTGTCAGGACCTCTACTATGGGAGCTGATGGGCTGCTAGGGGCAAGACTGGCATCTGGAAGAGGAGCATGGGTCGAGCTCCGGGAATCCCAGCATAGCCCCATCCACAAAAGAATGACACGTGAGAGGGGTATCAGAGGCTAGAGGTGGCCAGCGGGTCCCAGGCAGAGGGAACAGGCTGGGCAGAGGGGTGTGACCAGGCACGGATGTGATGACTGTGTGCGCCCCTGGCCTGGGCTGGAGGCCTTGGCACAGGGGGCAGAGTCAGAGGAGAATGAAGCCAGGGCCTCCCCTTCCTGGCCGGACTTCTCTCAGCAATAGCTGGGAGGTGAGGGGGAGGTGGCTGGCAGCTCCTACCCCAAAAGAGATCTGCAAAGAAGAGAAAATGGGTCCTCAGGCAAGAGGTGGCCTGCATGAAGGCAGGGGTCTGACTCAGAGGTCACTGGACAGGAAGGAAGCTACACAGACCTTCCGTCATCCGACTCTGCTGTTGTCTCCTGAGCACAAGGCAGGGCTGGCAACAAGGGGCTGTGTAGGTTTGGGTACCCAAAGCCCCAGGTAACCCAGGATAGCTCGTCACCACATCCCCCACCACCATCCTCCTGCCCCCCACCCCCATCCCATGAGGGCCAATGCCACGGAAGCTTGCCCTTGCCCGCCAGCTCTGGGAGATGAGGGCCCTGACTGCTAACCACTCCATGCCCACCACAGCAGCCTTGCCTGGCGCCACAACTGCCCGGCCCCTTTGACGGCGGTCTCGGAGGCCGTCCTGTACCCGCCCATCTCCCCAGACCACCCTGCCTGTCCAAAGCACACTACCCCCCAAACTGGAAGGGCATTCCTGGGAGCCCCCCACTGCCCGCAGGGCCTGAGCCGGCGTAAGTTGGCCCCACACAGTGGGACTGTGTGTCTCAGCCTCACCCACGCCCACCGCGGTCCCACTGGTCATATAGAAGGCCCATTGACGCCTCAGCCTGGTGGTGGCCGCATCAAAGCTGAGGCTTGCTGGATTACCTGGTGGGAGGGGCCGGGAAGGTCTGAAAATCTGACCTTCCGGAAGATTCTGAAGAAAGCAACATCCTCTGACCCCAGAGGTGCCTTAGCCAGACCAGACTCTGCTGGTTGTGGATGAAGGTGGTGGTGGGTAGGCACTGTTTCCTGGACTTGGGGTTCAGTGGCACAGTCTCCTGGAGAGGGCAGGTCGTCTGTGGACCCTTTCTCAAATCTGCCACTGGTGGCTGGAGAATCTCCCTCTCCATCTTTAAGACTGGGCTCGAATATCACCCCCTTCCCACCAAGGGTCTTCCTAGGACCACCTGTAGCCCCAGCCCAGTACCTTCCTGGGAGGTCTGTGAGTCGTTCTTACCTGGTGAAGCAAGGAAAGGAGGGCAGGAAGGGAGAAGGCGCTTTGCAGCCCTGCCCTCCTGTAGCCAGCCTCCAGCACAGCGGAAGGGCTGCTATGGGGACCTGTGACCCGGTCCAGGAGTCTGCTGGGGCGGAAGCTTCCTCCTCCTTCTCTGTCCATGGGGAAACTGAGGTCCAAAGATAAGATGCAGCCTTAGGAGAGCCCCGATCACCCACCAACTTTG